GCGACCTGGTGGTGGCGGCGCCACGCTATCCCTGTGGCCACAAACTGCTGATTCGGCCATCCAAGGTGGTGACAACCTCGGATATTTCAACCAGCGATGGATATCCCACGGGGCGACTTCTCGTGATAATGGCCACCTGCAGTGCGTTGACTCCCCTTCCCACGTTGCGAACATCCAGCGAGACTGTACCGTGTGTGTACGAAGTTGTGCCATGTGCGAAGTTCAGGGTGAAATTCTACCTGAGCTAAACCCCTCTCCGTGCCCGCTCAGCATTAAGTTCTCGGCATCCCGCCATCCCTGCGCTCAGTGTCCCATCGCCGGGCTTGCCGCCCGTGACGTCGCTTCAACTGGCCACGAAGCCGCGCCGCGAGCCGCGTCCGCGAAGAGCAGCGCGCTGCGCACCTAAAGGCAAGGGGCAGCTCGCGGCGCGTCGGGTGGTAGCCACGGTCGCGCGCAGATGCCGAGCCGTCCGTTGCGCTCTGCAGTTTGTGAGCCCGAACGCGCTGCCCGCCGCCGTTCGAACCCCTTGGTCTGCTGCCTGGCAATTGATGCAAAGTTCCCGGGCCAGCGATAGGGGCTCGGAACTCCGTTTGGGTCCTGTGTTTCGAGGAGTGCTGTTTGATGCCCGTGGCGGACGGACATTGAGGGCTTCGACGGACACCGAGGCAATCGGCGGAGCACCAGCTGCCACACTGGCCGCCCTGCGCCGCTCGCATCTTTTGTCGCGCGAGGTGCCCGCTGCGCTCGGAGCGACGCAGCACAGGCCGAGGCTGTCAGGGCAATGCAGCGCCGCGAGCGAAAAAACTGTGTTGTAGTATGGGTTGGGGGGGGCAGCGCTGGCAGAAAAAACGTCAGTACTGAACCAAGCGCGTCCATTGAGCGCGAGGTCGACAAGCTCGTGGTGGTTTTAAGGAGGATCCCGGCGGCCCTGCCTGGCGAACGGACAATGGCCAAAGAATATGGCGTCAGACGGCCAGCTGGTTTTCTCTGCCTGCCAGGCGACTTGCAAGTCGCGACTCAGGACGTCGTAGTTTGGGGACATAGGCAGAATCTGCCATTTTGGGGTTGGTCTCGAGCTGAATGGACAGCCCCAGAGTTCCCACACTGAGCTCAGGCACGCGGAAGCCCACAGTCTGGCGGATTATAAGCACCGTCAGTTGACCCCGTACCCAGAATGGGGATAACTACACTGAACGAGAAGTTTCGCTGTTTCGCAGGGTGACTCCCAGCCAACGAACCATCTTGGACAACCTTGATCGGAGTGAAGCGTGAGAGGGCGCTGTGGAAATCGCAATGGTCCGCCCTGGTGTGGTGTTCACGGCGGTTCTGGTGCTGTTCGCGTGGCAGCAGCCTCCTGTTGCAGATGCTTCTCGGGGGTCCCATCTGCGGGGCATCTTGCAGGGTGAGGGTTGTGGATTGGCCACTCACTGCTCTGCGTTGCGGGCTGTAGATCAAATAGGCATTGGCCACATACAGCTTTCGCAAGTGTCAAAGCACTACGTTCTGCAACCCTTTCACCTGCGTTAGACACTTTATTCTCACCAGTCGAGCTGACTATTAGGCAATATGAACTCAAGTGTTGGAAGCGAGATTGTGAGGCCGAGTCACTGGGCTCAAGTGAGCCTCTGCAATGTTAGAGTTACTTGGACAACATGCAAAGAGGATGAGCAAAGCTTCCAGCCGAAATCCATCCCTACCATCCATAATTGGTGTAGAAGCATTTGGTCCCCAAGTGGGGAGGGAATGCTTGCCCAACCATGAACCTGGAGAACAGTGCCCGTCAAGTCCAAAAGCTAGTGTCGTTGTCCTTTTGCTGAAAGAGTTGTCAGTCAGCCATTACAGTTTATTTGAGTTTGAGGGTTGGAGGACACAAACAACTAAGCCAATAGATCAGGCTGCAGATTTCACCATGAGTGTCGAGCACCAATTGGATTCTGCTTGCCATATGAGAGTGCATCTGCAACTGTGCAATGTAAGTATTGCTTTTCCGTCAGGGCTACAACTCTCTACCGGGTTTGCTGCATGATTTATAGGGAGCTCGCCCAGTTGCACTTGGGTTCTCGAATTATAGTTTATCGCTTATCCCCTGTGGAGGGTATTCTCAGAATTGTCATTGGAGGTGCATCGCTTTGATGTCATTTGCTTTCATCTCTTTAGCAAAAACGGAATTCTTGCCAATTCAGTAGCTACCCTTCAGAGTACGCTACTCATTTGTCAGGTCGTGATTGATACCGACCCACAGGGTTTGAACTTGTTCATTCGACGTGGTACACTGTGATGACAAACGGCAATTGTGCCCAGTGCGATCTAATCACCCATTCGTGGTCTCACCCAGGCTCGTCTGGATTCCTTGAATGGCACACAAGTCACCACACCTGCCACTGTGATACGAGAGATGGGGTGGCTGTTAGTGCTTTAGGGCTTGCTGAGCCAAGATCAGCACAATTTGCTGGTGCACTGCTGTTGTGGGCCAACTGCCTTTGTGCACTGCTGAGCTGCATAAAGCTGACCTTCGATTGTTGTGGGTCCCAGATGGAGCTGATACACTGGCATCGAGTGCCCTGCCTGAGTACACAACCTACCCAATATCATCTCAGAGGATCTCCACAGTTGTCCGAATCCAGGTGGGAATAAAAAGCACAACAGCTTGCCTTTCGTGTTTTGTTCCGGTATCATACACTTTGGAATACAAGTGTTTAGTTTCCTTCTTGAAGGCATGCTGATACGCCATAACTGTTTGTTGTATAATTTTGGTTTGCCACCCCACAGGTACTGTGGGCCCTTAGATGAGTGCATGCATCCAGAACAAACATGAAGATTGGATCGATGGCTCGATGCGTTGATGTGGCATCACCACAAGATAATGCCACATCATATGCTGAATCATGATTCAGTGAGGGCAGCAGTAACAATACCCTGATTATAACACCTGTATTGCCCCCTTTTCCTTGACTTGGACAGCACAACCTTGCTGTTCTACTATCTCACAGCCCCCCAAAGCAGATGTGCAACAGAGATTATTCAGTTGTTTTGGCTATTCTCGGTTCCCTTAGTTTTATTCATTGGTTCGTTGTGTTGATTGTTCATGCAGTCGCCAGCCAGAAGCAACCGTGCGCCGCTGTCCATCACTGCAGTGCTGGATCGCTCGGGTTCCATGGCAGGAGAAAAAATCAGGCTTCTGAAGAGAACAGCAGAGTTTCTTGCAGTGAAGTTGCAGTCAAAGGACAGCATGGGGGTAGTGTCCTACTCTAGCGATGTATGTGGATCATCTCTTCCTGTTACCAGTACCATATGTGCTGCAGAAGCTTTTGATTGTAAACACCGGAACAGTTTTTTTGAGCAAACGCTCCTAATGCCTGGACTGTGATCAATGCCATCCAAACGTGTGGAGACAGTGATCTGCCATGCTTCCACACACTCTATCAGAGCAGATTTATGTCTCGGGAACTTGTGGTCAATTGTGGTGCACTTCATTTGCACACTTATTTTCAGCATGTTGGCACATGTTCTGCAACAGGTGGCTTGGCTTGCAGTGTGTGAATTTGGTGTGCATTGACATCGCCCATCCAATTGGCTGCAGTTTCTCCAACAAACCCAATGGCTAGTAATGTCTCCAGGAACAGAAGATTTTGTTGTTTCCGTCTTACTTGATGCAGAGTGCTGTAAGCAATATATCTGTTTTGTTACACGCTATTCATGGATGCTCAGTGCTGTGCACATCTTGCACAGCATGGGGAAGGGGCAAACATCCTATGTCCTGATGTGGATGCCAGATGCATGGCCCATTTGTGCAGCAATCAATAACCAATCAGCCTGAATTCCCAAATGTTGTAGTGCTGGAGTGGGTGGCTGCCCATCGTGTACCACCCAGTTGTGTGGTTATTTTGTGTGAGTACCAAACAGACATGTTTTGGATGCGGCTGTGCCTGATTTGTCTAGTGCAAGGACCACTTCCGCCCAACGTCTCCATGGCATCAACGAATGAAAGTTTAGCCAGGTTAGAGGTGATGTGCTGACTGCTGGCGCCCAGGTGGAAGTGAACTCACCACTGGTTTCGGTTACTGATGGGCAGAGGGCACAGCTTCGCAACCATATTCAGACAATTGTTGCAGACGGAGCCACAAATCTTGCAGGAGGGCTGTTTGCAGCCGTCGAACAGCAAAAGAAGGCAGATGTGGGAAAGGACAGCTTCAAGGCTATTCTGCTCTTTACTGATGGGCTGGCAAATGAAGGTGGGGTTGTTTGGGACAAAGTCTTAGGGTCTCAGATGCTAAGTTCACCACCCCGTTGAACACGGAAAATTCACATTCTGGATATCTTGATGCAGACTCTAGACAGGACCACTTTGGGCTGAGATGAGGGACAAGCCGCCTAGTTGGCCAGGTGTAACCGCATCAGTTCTCTGTACTTTAATGTGGAGCACTGCATTGTACTGCACATAATCACTGGCCTCTGCCCTTGGCACACCATGCCTGTGAAGGATACAGATTGCCGATTGTCCCAACCTATTGTCAAGGGAGTCCCTGCAATTGTGCTCATTGCAGCCGTGTAAGGTTTGCTGGGCTGGACGGAAGGAGAATGCTGTTGGCCAATGCCTCAATTGTGGCTTCTCTTGAATGTTGCAGCTGTGGCACAATGACCTGGAGTGCGGAATCGACAGGCCACCGAGGTGCAGTAACACAATGTGATTGTATGCAAGCAGAGCACCCTCAGAAAAGTTAAAAGGAAATGTTCTGCACCCACACAGTTCTACAGTCAATTTGGGTCAATTTGATTCGCATACCCAGCTCAAATGAGCAGCGGCTTTCACGTGGCATCAGTGGACCCCTGAGTGGACAGAATGCTTCCCTTGCTGAGGATGGACAATACTCAGCTTGGTGTTCACCGCAGGTTTGACTGAAATCGATTTAATCGTCGATGAGTTGAAGAAACAGCTGGATGAAGAGATACCACCAACGGTCTTCACTCTTGGATTTGGAGCTGACCATGATGTTAGTTTTATGAAGGTGAGTGCTTGCACTTGCCTTGGAGTGCACAAGAATGAATGCATCTGTCCACACAGTCAAAGTGACAATGACACAGTCGATGTGGCACATGCTTCCACTGAACTTGGTTGATACGGCAGCATTAGCTTGGTCTGCAAGGACCTCACCATGCTTATCATACATCCCTATCCACCACCCCCCGCAACAGAGCAGGAAAGTGCACATGGACTTCCACATGCAATAGGCTGAATAGGGAAGGCTGCTGGAGATGTGAAGCTGAATTATTGCCTTAATTGCATTCGCCATTATGCGACATATGGTGGACATTAATTCACTTTGCACCAAGGTAAACACAATACAAAAAGTGGTGCTTCTGAAGCTTCTGCTGAGGCTTGAATACTGTTGCATAGCTGATTTCAAGGTAGTTCGCCTGGAGCGTTTCTCTGTCACCAGCTTTAGGCTGCCAGTGCTCTTGGCATGGCATCCCTTTGTGGCAGGCAAGCTTCAATAACTGGAAACTGCAATGTGGTAGAGGAAAGCATGCTGTGAAGTGGCACAACTGTGTGCAATTTGGTCAGGCAGCCAATGTGGATTGCACCCTGCTACAATTGAAGCTGTCTTTGGAGCAACAAACTTTGCAGTCTCGAGAAGTCTATGCCACTCGCATTGGCTGCAATACAATGTTGTGCATCTCCGATTTGTGCGTGGTGAGAAAATGGAAAACAACAAAAATGGCCCGATTGTGCTCTTTGAGAGCATGTGCTGCACTGCACAACGTTACTACCATCTTGTAAATGCCTGAGCATGGTTTTCCCATGTCTGCAGACTCGACAAGGTTACTTCTGCACCATGATGCCTGATAGCCTGCAGAAATGTTGACGCTTTTCTGCACTCATTTGCTGACAATGCCGTTGACCCGAGTGAGCTCAATGTTCTTATGAAATTCTGGTCTGCAGGCAATTGCAGAAGCTGGCCGTGGGGACTATATCTTCATTAAGGATGCAACATCCATTGCCCCTGTATTTGGAGAGCTCCTGGGTGGGTTGATCACAGTGGCAGCACAGGACATCAATGTCAACCTGACGCCACTGAACGGTTCTTTCATTACGGCTGTTCAAACGGGAGGAATCGTTCAGGGATCGGAGTCAAACTGGACGTGAGTGCAGCTCCTGCTTCCCTAATGGTTTCAAGAGGTTGAACCTCATTTTACAAGACCATGTGCCAACTCCATCCCAACAGAAAGACAAATGGCCCACTGGCCTTTGTTGCAGTTGCTGGTGCTTGTTTTGACGTGGTCCAACTAGCAGAGCACACTAAAGGGATCAAATGCCACCGCAACAGACTAGAGTTCTTCCTTTCACCACCATGCAGAAATGCACAAGGCATTGTGAGGATTCAGAAAGGATTGGCCCTGAGATGTTGCTGCTGCTGCTGCCGCTGCTGCTGCTGCCGCTGCTGCTGCTTGTTATTACATAGTGTTCACTAAGCCTGACTCCGCTCCCAGCAGCATAAACATGATGTCAACAGCCTGTACCACTTTTGGCGATGTCTGTCAGTAGCAAGAATAGAGAAGGGATGTCCATTGGGAGCAAGGTTCATGTACAGAGGTGGCTGCTGACTGGGAACAATGGAGTCATGAAAGTGTAGCGTCGAATGTCAGAATGTCGCATCGGCAGGAATGTATTAGATGTCCCAATGTCCCAAAAATCCAAAATCCTTAAGTCCTGGACGTCCAAGGACCCCAGAATTCCGCAAGCCTACAAGTCCTAGAGTCTCAAGAAGAAACATCCCAGAGTGCAGAAATGCAAAGCCCTAAACACCTCAAAGTCTCTAATGAGCCCGGAATGCAGTGTTGTCTTTAGGTTCATTGAACATCCAACGCCATGTCGATTAGTATCCATAAGAAGAGGTGATGAAAAAGTCCCCGATGAGATCACTCTGATGAGAGTGGAGGGGGGGAGCCGTGAAACCCATGTCCAAACTGGGAATCTGCAACATCCAAACAAAAGCCTCAGTGGATGGCAAGAACTTCAGAAACAAGTAGAGGAATGATGTCCTTCTAATTGTTGCTATTGTTGTTGTTGCTGCTGCTAGTCGAATTCCAGGTTCAGCTGCGTGAGTTCCAATATATTCCAGTACGTGCCAGTTGGCAGTCAGTTCAGCAAAGTCCAGCAGCTCATAACATCATGCTACCGCCCTGGGTGTTCGTACAACTACACCATGTCAAGAACCTTGAAGATCATCCCCTTAATTTGGACCAACGGGATCTGTGTGACATTGAAGACAAGGACAAAAGAGAAGAGCCCCACTGTAACGTCACGAAATAGAAAGCATGCATGTACTGGCTGGACATGAAGGCATATCCACTTTCAGCATGGGTACACTTTTGAGCAGTTGCAGAGCACGACTTTTATTGTCTTCACTGCTCATCTGGGTTTGGCTTTGATTTTGATGCTTATGCAGATCGTGGTTTGAACATTCTTTTTGGAATTGTGCCCAACATCGCCATGCATGCACACGATGGCAGTGCTTTTCTGGTCCTTGTTGGATGCAATCGGAGGAGTCGCACAGCTTGTGTGTCAGAAATGCGGCTGGTCTGGGATCATGGAGATTTGGCAAGTTTGGGCCTGAGGTGCAGATTTCAAGGACTTTAGCTGCTCCGCTCCACTCCAGTGTTGTTGATTCTCACAAGGAGGTCACATGCAGGGCGCCTGGTGTGGATTGCCTGGCCTTGTTGGTGGCCTGCATCTCCTGCCAGCCATGCACGGTATATTGCATATCAGCAAGCGTTCATTGATGACACCTGTGCTTGTGCGTGTTCAGAGTTGTGTTTGACAATTTGTTCGCCCAAGAGACACGTGACATCCTGGTGGACATGAACATTCCAGCCTTGGCTTCGGCGACAGTTGCGCAGAAGGTGCTCAGAGTCGACATCAGTTACTTCGATCCAGTGTCCCGGGCGCACATCGTACTGGATCCTGTCACTCTTGCTATCGACAGGACCCTTGGCGAGAGAGGCACAGACGATGTATTGAATTTGGAGGTGGAGGTCACCAGACTGACGTTCCTTGTCAGCAAGGTGTGCACCCCCCCTCCCCCCTCTCGTCCTACTGTTGCACGGCATCATGAATTGGCAAAATTGTGAATGTTGGGTTTGGCAGAGCACTGCTCCAACAGGCAACGGAGTGCTCCAGGCAACGTACTGGGTGGTTGAACTGCTGCTTGTATTCAGCCAGTGGCACGTGTGACCCAAAGGTATTCTTGTCTTTATCACTGCATCTTGAGCTGCTGCCTAGGGCCACAGCTATCCTGGTCTCATAGGCGAATAGAATGGTATGCAACATCAGTCAGCCTGCCCTGATGCTGGGAGTTACACTACTAGAAGTCATGTCCATAGGATGAAGACTGTTTTTCCCTTGGAGGCAGGACACGTCCTTTCAGTTGTAGAGGGCCTGTCCATATCCACGCCCAGAATGTGTGGCTCCTCACAGAGGGCAGTGATATTGCATGCCTTGCTCTGAGTCATATTGTGCCGATGTCACTAGATCGGGGCAAAGATCTTCCTTGAGAAGATGTGTTCTTGAGTTGAAGAAACGAACGCTGTTGCCGTGCAGGAGATTCAGCGTGCTCTTGGTCAGAAAGAGGCATTCGATACCCAGGGAGCCACTGCAACGCTTGATGCTCTGCTCACCAGGATTTCGATTTCCCCAGCAAGGGATGACCCACGAGTGCAAGCCCTCAAATCGGACGTGGAGAGCGTGCAGGAGGTGGTAGCAAGGGAAGAGGTGAGGGGCGTTGTGCCGATTGCATTAGCATTCCTGAACCCTGTCAATTTGCCCTTGTCGTGTGTTTCTATGCTTATGTTGAATGGTATGTCGCCATACAAGGCAGCAGCTTCTATATATGCGGACAATATGAATTGTATGCTTCTAGCGATGCGGGAATGAAGATTGGTTAGTTGTTGATGTCTCTAGTGTGTTCCAATGTTGCCCTTGTATATTGAGAGGCAGCTAGGAGGAATGACTCAGTAGCAGTACGTGGACATAGAGCTTGTACCACCATGTGCTTCCTCTAAATCCTGTCCCAGGAAGTGGAAACAAAGTCGCCTTCGTTGGAATGTTCCCCACTGACTACAGCCGAAGATCAGTGATGATGTCCTCCAAAGACGATTGATCCTTATTGAAAATAAACGCTTCTGACTATCAGTGAGGGCGTCGCTGATGCAGTGCTCCCGCGAGAACCTCCAATTTGATGGCACACATGCACACAGCCGCCAACACTTGTTGCATTGGCTTCCGCCTGCACTGCTCCGAAGTCAGTGAAGTATTCGGCTTTTGTGTCCCACCGCAGGAACTTACGCCAGTCACTAGCACGGCGATTGCGAGCAGTGCAAGTAGCCTTGGCTCCCAAAGGGCAACGTCCACCAGCGGTTTTGCAAGTACTGCAGCCCCAGCGCCCACTGCGGCCGTGTTAGCTGCAGATGCCAGCGCCTTTGTTGCCGAGAGCCCCTCCGGGCGGTGACTGCCCTCTGCCCAATGCGCTGCAAGCAGCAGTGTCTAAAGTCCACACGATTGCCACGACGCGCCAAAGGAGTTTCCTTGCGCCTGCGAGGCGGTGACTGTTATTGTGCAATCTGCACGATGTCCGTTCTGGCGGAGGTTGCAATGAGGATTGCCAACTGGTGCCTGCTGGCGCTGTGCAGAAGACATGCAGGCTTGTGTTGGGCGCCTGGGGTGGCATTGTTAGGTGCGGGTGGATGTGTTCTAAATTCAAGTCTCAGATGCTTCCCGGACTAGTGCTTTTGGTAATACAGCTGCCAGGGCAATAGCAGGCTGTGATTTTCTTTGTCCCAGTTGATGGCGTTGAGACTGGGGCGGCAGTGCGCAATGCAGAGCTTGAATCCTTATGGATTTGCTGTCGCGCTTCTCTAATGTATGCAACTGTATGTCGCCCAGTCACTGGAGATCTTCAACCTCCATCATGCACACTCGTGAGCACCAGACTGGCTGCCCATGGTCTCTCATATCGTCCTGCTGAGATTCCATCCCTGTTGGTCCAAACCAACCGTATGTGATTTGAGTGTCTGTCCAGCCAGCAACATGGAATGCGGAGCTGCGCGCACAACCTGTGCCATGAAGAGCATCAAGTGCGTGCCCCAATCGCGCGAGCACTGATGCGATTATCAACGCAGCTACTAAAGCGGCACAATCGTGCTGGAAGAATATATTCCCAAAGTACCCAACGCGTTTGTTCGAGGCGCCACTTTATGAGGTAGTAATAAGACTGCAAGGAACAATGAACCCTCGTGGCAGCAAGAGGGTGTGAAACAACCAAAAAAATCATCTGTCCCCTGTTGTGTGTTTGGGGAGAAATGGCACGTGAAGCAACACCAATACATCTCAGAAATCGAAGGCAGGGGCCAACAGGCTGTGCGCACACTGGCGCCTCTTGGTGCTTCGTTCCAACCCACAATAGTATGTTACATGCGTCCGTCGGTTCACATCGACAACGTCTGTCCGTTCACACCGACAACGTTCAGCGAAGCCCAACTCTTGACCCCCACGCACAGTCCCACTCCCACGTTCAGATCAGCGCTCATATGCCCTCTAATTAATAAAATGCTATGGTATTTTCAAGAGCTATGAATATTTGCAACTTATACATCCTTTCGCACCGAATCACCCAATGCTTCAAACCATTTCTGCCTCACTGGTCTCCTGAACCCACCCCGTCATGTACCCCATGACAATAATTACAAACAACCGTCCAATGTCACATTCCTGAGGTTCCCGTCCGTCAAACTTGCCCAGTCACTTTACGGGAACTCGAGGCCCCTCCGGGGCAGAAGATGTGCCCAAACTGCTCATGCAGGTCGTGGGCGGTGATGGTCATCCAACCGAAAAGTCGAAAATCCCACTCAGTGGGTAAACGAAAAATATCTATGTAGGACCACAAAGCGTCCGACTTCCATCCACCCCAATCCCGGATACGCCGCTCCGCGACCTCCAAGGCGAAGCAGCTGGACGCGCCCCCACCGCGCAGGCCATGATGCGTGAAGGGCTCGTGGGTCAGGTCTGGAAAGTGCGCGAGCAGGGAGGTAAACCAGGAGGCAACGGTCTTGGACGAAGGGGTGGCATTGCCGGGAAGGCGGTAGAAATGGCGCGGCGGTTGGTCCGTGTGCGCCCAGGCGTGATCTCGAAATTGCGTCCAGCGGCGCAACAGGGCGCCGACCTCTGGGGCGCCGCGGGAAGGCCACGAGCGAAAGCGCGACCGGGGCTCCTCCCCGGGGCGCAACTTGGTCTTGCGCTCGCGGAAGACCACGACCTCATCATCGATGCGGATGTCGTCAACCAGAATGAAGTGTCCCAACTGGGCCCGGTTGAAAAAAAATGTAGTCGAGGTGGGCCGCATATGCCGCGCGAAGGGGGGGGCAATCTTCGGTGGTCAGGCCGACGTCCAAAATGCGCAAAAGCAAGGAAATGGGGACTGGTCGGCAATGCTGCACCGGGGCCGGAGTCGCCCGTCGCCAAGCGCGGGTGAGGATGCGGGTGACCGGGTCGAAGGCCGAGAAACCCAAATGGCCCGCGACATAATGCATCATCAAAATCGCGGCCAGGTACTGGGGCAACGACCGCACGCCCACCTTGCCCTCCTCCCGAAGAAAACGATTGTATCTGTAGATCGAGGCCCACCGGGCGGGCAGTGCGGCCAGGTCATTCGCCTCGCAAAACCATTGGAAGCGCGAGAATTTGGCCTAGAGCGTCCGGGGAGTAGCTTCCGTGTAGGACGCCAGGAACTGGTGCTCCATCCAGCAGCGATCGTCGCAGAGCAAACCGTCCAGATCGGTGCCATACAGCGGGGCGTCCTCTGCCACCGGCTCCAGCGGAAATGGATCCAAAGGAGGCACCACGGGCGGAGAGGCCAGATCCTCGTGAGGGGTCACTGCTTCTTCCGATTCGGCCTCAGATGGCACGGCGTCCTCGGACACGGGCACACATGGAACGCCCGCAGATTCCAGCGCGGGGGCAGGAGAGAGGCCAGGAGACTCGGATCGCCGGGGAGAAAGAGGTTGGCCTGGCGGGGAATGAACATCTCCGTCCTGGCAATCGCCCGGAGCGGGCGAGACCACACCGCACTCGGCCAGTCCGGCGCCAGCACCACCGCCTCCAGCTCCGGCCACGAGGCGAGGAAGGACACGAGCCTCGCGAGGAGGCTCCATGGGGGATTGCACCAGGACTTGGTGCCACGCCAATCCTGCTGGAAAGCATCCACTCCTGCCGTACCAATGTCCCAGTACTGACTGTTGAACTGGGCGCTGAGGGCATTCCGGGCGGACGTGAATCGGTCCACAGAACAGGCCCCGAAGCTGCGGGTGACCTCCCGGAATATGTGCCGATGCATGCGGTAGTCCTCCGAGGTCCGTATGCGGGAAAGCCGGTCCGGCAGTACATTCTCGGCGGAGGGGATGTACTCTGGCTCCAGGAGAATCCGGCGCGCCGTACACACTGCCTTCAACTGGCGTAGGGGCCTCAGGAGACTGGTGGCCCGGGTAGTCATGGAAAGGATACAGTGCAAGACCACCTGGTTGTCCACCAACAAACGCACCCGCCGGGAAGTCGTCCCAGAGTACCGGCGAGGAAAGAAACTGAGCAGTGCCAAGTACACGGCCTACATTTCAAGAACATTAATGTGAATAAGGTCCCGATCAAAAAATCCCCTCGCAAGCATGGGGCCGGCCTGACCCAAAGACTGACAAGTGGCTCCCCAACCCGTCAAACTGGCATCCGTCACCAGGGTGCCAAGCACAGGTAGTGAACCTGGGTGGAGAGCCCGGCCTGCAAGTCTGGAAATATTGGTCCAGGCCAAAAGGTCCAGGCGGGCTTGGGGGGTCAAATGAAGCCGATCCCGCCAAGATCGCTTCCCTCTCAACAAAGCATAAAGACTCATCAAGAAAAAGCGGGCCAGCGCAAAGGCCAAATACAAAGAGATGGCCGAACCACAGAATTGAGCCAAGTGGCATGCCACTACCACGCCAGACTGGATGATGGTCCGAGCCCGGGAGGCAATGGCAACTGCCTTGTCCGGAGGCACCAGAAATTGGCACCGGGTGGTGTCAATGACCACACCCAAATGGGTCTTCCGTTGCACCGGCTCCCACTAGCATTTGGAATGCTTGAACTCAATCCCAAGAGCATGAAACACTCGCTGCACCAAACGGGACCATTCCCGCAAATGGACCGGATCGGACATGGCTGCAATGAAATCATCCAAATATGCCAAAATTAATGCGGGAACCTCCCGCAAGTACTTTAGATAGTACTGCAGAATGGAATCATTGCCCGCTAAACAGCCAAATCGAAAACGCGCCCCAGCCCGTGAACATGCTTTGGGGGTCCTTAAGAAACGGACCACAATGAGCATGATATGAGTGAAATAAAAGGGGGCCAAAGAAAGGCCAAAAGGCAGCGCCTGACAAGCGAAAACTTCGCCACCCATTCAAAAGAGCAAGAAATGCTGCTGATCGGCGCGCATCCGAATATGATGGTAGGCATTCTTCACATCGAATCCCACCAAAAAAGTCATTCTTTTTCAAGAGAAAGCTGAAATCCTTCAATCGCTCATAGCGGAGACCGACCTTCTTGAGGTGGCGGTTGATCCGCCGAAGGTCGATAACCAAACGGAACTTGGTCTTCCCGTTCTCTGCCGGCTTGGCCACCAAAAAGGCGCACGAAATTCAGGCGTTGGAAGAAGCCTCCGTCCGGCTGATCACTCCCGTCCGAAGGTACTCGTCGCGGAGCTCCTGCCTAAGCCTGCCATTCCGCCAGAGTCCGGAGCGGATACTTGCCTTGATCGAATGGGGGCGGAGGGCCCCCCGGGCCCCACTGGAGCGGCGCCCCCGTATGGATCCATTGAAGCACACAGGAGGGGGCGCCGATGCGGCGCCAGGCTACGAGACGGCCCTGGAGGCGGGCGTAGGGGGGAGCCTCTAGGCGGTCAGCTTGGGAGGCGCCGGTGGGGTGCCGGACGTCTTGGGTTTGGCGCGCTGATGCTTGGCGCCGGAGGAAGGACCGCTGGGGGGCGAGGCCGCGGGAGCTTGGCGGGTGAGCTGCGCCTGATGCTGAGCCGCCGCGGACTTCGTCGCTAACTTGAGCTGTTGATTAAGGACCTCCTTGCGGATGTGCTCGAGGGGCTCGTCGATCAAGGGGTCCCAGAACCGGCAATGCACGGCGCCCAATCGCACGTTGGTCTGGTGCCCTTCTGCTCGCCGTGGACTTGCTGAAGGCGGATCAGGCTCTGAAGACGCAATGTGATGGTCACTTGGGCGTGGACGTACGGAAGGAGGGCCTCCCAAAACTCGGGCGGAAATGCAGGGTGGGCCACGAAGTCGATCAGCGCGGCAATGAGGTTGAACTGCCACACGACGTAAGGGGCCCAGTTTTGATACTCCTAGAAGTACCCGGAGTTGGCGCCCAGGGCCTGCGCGGGCTGCCCGCCTTCGGAGTTGCGGCGGACGTTGAACC